CCCCGTGGTGTCGAGTATTTAGAAGTGAAATTAAATTTGGGCTGGCCCACTTTTTGCACGATATTTGAACGCTATTCGTTGATGAACATTCACCGATCGCTAGCAGAACTCCTGCTCTGCCTTGGAGCTCACTCTCGAGCTCCGCTAGTAGCCACACAGCGGCTACTAGTTTAGGCAGATGAAACTTGCCGGCGAAAATAATGGGGGTTGTAATGACTATTTCTGACTCATTAGCTGTCATCAGTCACTCATACCCAACCCCAAGTTCTACACCAATGGTTACAGCGTTGGGCTTCTAGGCAAAAGGACGTGGTTTCGGGCTTCGTGGGTATGACGCGCTGATGACGGCTAATGAGCCAGAAATGACCATTCTAGTCTTCCTTGTCTTCGCCGGCAATGCTCATTTGAATGATACGTCAGTTGTTTAGACTGTGAGCAGGGTGGCAATGTGTAAAACTTAAATGGGACATATAAACTGTATAAAATTGTCCCAACCAATATCCAACTTTCTTTAAATAGATAGTTTTCGTCTTTGAAGGAAACCTTTCTTGTTCATTTGGCTAAACATTAAATCACTCACGTTCGTTCACTTGTGATCTAACTAAATCCGAATACTTCCGCTCCTAAGGCTTAGCTTCATTTGACTATGCACTGTAAGTACGAGACTTTCTAAAACCTTAAATATCTGCTGAATCCTTTGCCGCATAGGCCAAAGGGAACCGCAACAGCAGTATAAGGGAGAAAAGTCACCTCCGATGACGCCAAATGCAACTTTCAGTGACAATGGTGTACAATTCACACGCCCTCAGGCCTCCATTCAAAACCAACAGGCACTCAAAGCCACAGGTATACTGTCACAGTACAGCAACCAAGACGTAAAAATGTCCGACGCAGGTCTCCTCTCGCGGAACCAATCGCTAAAATCATCCCCTTCCGGCCGCTCCCCCTTGGATGGCAGGGATTTTGTCTACCAGTCACCTTCTGGGCTGGACAGCCCATTTGCACCTGTAAGTTCCCACTCCATTCCTTTCCCGTCAGCGCGTTTTGCCACGTGCTGAGCGTCACCGGAATATACAAACAGCTAATAATGCTGGGAAACATAAGGCTGTTCGCTCTAACCGCTTTGGCTGGAGGTGTGCGTGTAATTTGTGGTTGAAGGGGAGGAACATTTAAATGATTTAATTACAGCATCAGGTATAGAGGTTCGATGAAAATTACTTTAATGGCCCCTTAACAAGATATGAGAACAGGAACCAGCCGCAATGCAGGCTTCTTTGCGCCAAATTCCAGGGCAAATATGCTTCCTATTCTAATTAGGTTTCAGATTTCGGTTAGGTTTAAGTATAAGGTTAGGGTTAGGATTAGCATTAAGCTAAACTATGTTTACGTTGAGGGTTCACCTTAGGATTTGTGTTAACTGAGCAGTTTCGGTTTAGAGTATGGTTGGAGTTAGGATTAGGGATACATTTTAATTTAGGGAATATGTGCAGTGTCATCTT